TAGGGTTTTATAGTGGTTGGAAAAAACATTGGTCATGTCACTTTTTCTCACTAGGAATTCAGCAACCTCCAGTCTTTTGCAGTAGATGCTTTCATCGAGGAGAAAAGAGGGAAGAAAGGGAGAAGGGAAAGAAGGGAATTAGGGATCTTTCATCTAAGGCACATGGAGGACAGGGAATGATTTGGGACAGCCAGCATGGCTTCACTAAAGGCAAGCCCTGCCTGACCCTAGTGACCTTCTTTGATGGAGCGACTACATCAGTGGACAAGAGAAGGGCTACAGATGTCGTTTATTTGAGCTTCTGTAAAGCCTTTGCCACAGTCCCCTGTAGGGTGCACATGTCCTTATATAATAAGGAAAAACACGCTCCTCGTGTGATGGTGAACAAAGAGGTTTATTTCAAATTCGGCGCTGGTTTTATCCCTTAAAACCATGGGACTTCTTTGACCAATAAGGTTGTCTATGTTGGCGCATGCTCCCTCGGGCTCTTGCCTTGGTACATCCCTGTACCTTAAACACGCCCCCTACAGTCCCCCACAGTATCCTTTGCTCTGAATTGGAGAGAGATGGATTTCATGAGTGGACTGTTAGACGGGTAAGAAAGTGGTTGGACAGTCGCATCCAGAGGGTAATGGTTCAGTGACTCAGAGTCCTGATGGGCATCAGTGACAAGTGGTGTCCCTCAGGGGGCTGTAGTGGACCAGTGTTAATATCATCACTGATGACATAGATGAAAGGGTTGAGTGCACTCTTGGCCGATTTGCAGATGACACCAAGCTGAGTGGTGCTGTTAACACACCTGAAGGATGGGGTGCCATCCAGAGGGATGTGGGCAAGCTTGAGAAGTGGGCCTATAGGAATCTCACGAGGTTTAATAAGACCAAGTGCAAGGTGCTGCACCTGGGTTGGAGTACCAGGCTGGAGGATGAATAGACTGAGAGCATCTTTATTGAGAAGGTCTTGCGGGTGCTGTTGTTTGAGAGGCTGTACATGAGCTGGTAATGTGCACTTGTAGCCCAGAAAGTCAGCTGTGTGCTGGGCTACGTCAAAAGAAAAGGGCAGGTCAGTGAGGTGAAGTGGTAGAGTTGCTCTTCATGTGAGAGAGCAACTGGAATGTATTGAGGTCTACCCAGGGAGAGACAAATGAGTTGAGAGTTTATGGTAAGAATTAAGGGACAGGCTAATATTGGTGACTGTTGTTGGTGTTTACTACAGGCCACCTGATCAGGAGGAGGAGGTTGATGAGACTTTCTGTGGGCAGCTGGAGATAGCTTCATGGTCACAAGCCTTTGGTCTCCTGGGGGACTTCAACCACCTCGGTATTTGTTGGAGAGACAACACAGCTCGGCACACACAGTCCAGGAGGTTCCCACAGATCATTGAAGATAACTTTTTGATGAAAGTGGTGGAAGAGCCAATGAGAAGAGGTGTGTTGCTGAACGTTGCACTAACAAACCAGGAGGGACTGGTTGAAGATGTGAAGGTTGGGGGCAGCCTTGCTTTCAGCCTTCCACCTGAGATGGTGGAACTCAGGATCCTGCATGAAGGAAGCAAAGCAGTAAGCAGGACTAGAACCCTGAGCTTCCAGAGAGCTATCTTCAACCTCTTCAAAGACCTGCTTAGAGGAATCCCACAGGATAGAGCTCTAGAAAAAAAGGGGTTAAAAAAAGCTGGTCAATATTCAGCAGCACTTCCTCCAAACTCAAGACAAATGTATACCTATGAGCAAGAAATAAAGCAAGCTGGCAGGAGACCTGCATGGATGAGCAGAGAGCTTCTAGCAAATCTCAAAACAGAAGAAAGAAATTTATGGGATGTGGGAAAAGAGACCATATGGCAGGACTGTATGGAATATCGGCAGGGTATGCAGGGATGTGATGAGGAAAGCCAAGGCCCCTTGGAATTGAGTCTGTCAGGGGATATCAAGGACAAAAGAAGGCCTTGTGCAAGTATGTCAACAGCAAAAGGAAGTTTAAGGAAAGTGTGGGGCCGCTGCTGAATCAGATGGGTGTCCTGGTGATGGAAGACACAGAGAAGGTAGAATTACTGAGTGCCTTCTTTGCTTCAGTCTTTACTGCTGAGGCCATCCCTTAGGAATCCCAGACCTTGGTTGTAAGAGAGAAAGGCTAGAGAAAGGAATACTCCCCTTTGGTCATAAAAGGTTGGGTTAGAGATCAACTAGGGAGACTTAACACCCATAAATCCATGGGCCCTGATCGGATGCACCCATGGGTACTGAGGGAGCTGGCAGATGTTGTTGTTCAGTCACTCTGTATCATCTTTGAAAAGTCATGGAGAAAGGAGAGGTGCGTGATGACAGAAGAAAAGCTGGTGTTACTTCCATCTTCAGAAAGGCAAGAAGAAGGATTTGGGAAACTAGCAGCCAGTCAGGCTAACCTCAGACCCTGGAAAGGTGATGGAACAGATCATTCTGGAGGTCATCACCAAGTATGTAAAAGAAAAGGTTATCAGGAGTAGTCAACAGGGATACACCAAGGAGAAATCATGCTTGATTTCTGTGGTGGCATGGCAGGATGGATGACAAGGCAAGAGCAGTGGATATTGTCTACCTTGACTTATCTACCTTTTGACACTATCTCCCATTGCATCCTCTCTCCTATGAGAAGAGACTGCGGGAGCTGGGCCTGTTTAGAGAAGACTGAAAGGGGTAAATATCTCAAAGGCAGGTGTCAAGAGGATGGTTGTGGAGTTTCCCTCTCCGGAATGTTCAAAACCTGTCTCTAGATATGTTCCTGTGCAACTCCAGAGGTCCTTTCCAATCATAGCAATTCTGTGATTCTGTGAACTGGGTTTGTTCAGCCTGGAAAAGAGAAGGCTTTGGGGAGATCTACTTGGAGCCTTCCATTACCTGAATGGAACCTACAAGAAAGATGGAGAGGGACTATTTACAAGAGGTGGAGTTGCACGACAAGAGGGAATGGGTTCAAACTGAAAGAGAGCAGGTTGAGATTGGGTATTAGGAAGAAATTCTTTACTCAGAGGATAAGGACGCACTGGAGCAGCTTGCCAAGGGAATTTGTGGATGCCCATCCCTGGCACTGTTTAAAGCAGCTTTGATGGAGCTCTGAGCAACCTGTTCTAGTGAAAGGTGTTCTGCTCACAGCAGGGGTGTTGGGACTAGCTGATCTTTAAGATCCCTTTCAACCCAGGCCATTCTGTGAATCTATGATTTTGTTATCCTCAGTATGAAAGGTCTTTCCTTTTCTGTGCCTCTAGGTTTATCATTTGTTAGAAGAGTCAGATGAGAATGTAACCTCTCTTCTTTACACTAGGATTTTCTGTTGTCATGTGTTGGGTGAGGTACCTTTTTCATGCTGAAGGTGATGCTCAAGAGAAGGAATTCTTCTAAATCAGAGTTGCAGGGGGTGCTAATGTGGGAGTGTGATGCCAGATCCAGAATGTAACTTTGCTGTTGGCATTCTTCTCTTACATTTCAATGTTTTCTGTGAAGTTGAGTTTGAATATTTCAAAACATATCTGATATGATAAAACAGCTATGAAGGTATGAACAACTAGTAGAAGCTGTGTATTACCTTGCTTTTCTTTAAAGCTTTTATGGGCTAAGGGAAAGGGAAATCAGATTAGTATGACTGCTTTTACTTTGATTTAACTTTTAATTAGCTCATTAACTGAGTAAGAAGGGCTAAAAATATGAAAACAAAGAATATATTTTCTACAACAGCAAGAAAGGCCAATATTAACAAGGGAGGGGGAGAGGGGGTGCACCGTTGCAGCAGTTCAGAAGAGACTATTGGGGATTGCTTTTTGTTTTAGTTGGTTAACTAGTGATTTCTATGTGTTCATCAAATTTTTACTTTCTTCACAGCTTTAGTAGGCAGTATAACTGTTTTCCCTGGGTTTATATTTTGAACCTTCATGGAAATAATTTAAATGAAAAATCAGATTTGTTTTGCTAAACATAATTTGCCTTAACAATTTTCCTTTTTAAAAAACCCACTGTCTAAGAATTGCTCCTCCTCAATTCCTACTGGTTGAACATAAATAAGGAAAGTTCAAAAGCAGTGTTGTGGGTTGTTTTGTTTTTTTTTTTTTCCATTCAGTTTACTTTTATGTTCTGCTTGTAATTTAAAGTTTACTTGAAAGGTTTTAATAGTTTCCTGCTGTGATCACGCTTTTCTAAGTGGAAAAACAGATGTGTGTACTCAAAAGACAGCCTTCTAAATGTAATTGTAACTTACAAATAAGAGAATGGGTGTGTGAATCCGTTATCCAAGGGTAAGATGAGCTCACGGTACACCTAATGTAATTTGCCATGCGCAAATGTTTTCCTGTGATAAAAATAAGGTGTTTTATCCTTTCCAGAGCAGCTGATCCAATATATCCCTATTTTCCTGTACCCTGAAGCATCTTTATTGTGCACTCCTATCCAGAGTTACAGTAATGCACTCAAGGCCAAAATTTAAAAGATGAAGATAAGTTTATGTTGGATAATAGGCAGCATTGCAGTGAGAACAATCCAGCACAGATACTTGGATTTTGTAGGTACCATCTTCAAGAGTAAAGCTCGGAATGCTGTTTTTTTAATTACAAAAGAGGTGATGTAAAAATGAAATGTACTATGGCTGGTAGCTGAGGCATAGGAGGCTTAATAAATCAGAGTGTTTAACAGAATGGTTTTCCTGGGTTATGTAGCTTGTGTATAGCAATCTGTCACAGTTTGAAATGGAAGATTCAGGAATAGCCCACTTGAGCTTGATCTATTTGCGAAACCTTAAATATTTGAAGAAGTTTTTTTTAACAGTCTGGCAAAATAAAACTCAACTGCTTACATGTATAAACAAAAAATTATTGTTTTCTACTTTTAATACATAATTATATCAATGATTTGCAGTGTAGCTCGAAATCCAGTATTTACCTTCAGTGAGAACACACTTTTCTTGTCTAGTATTTCCACTTGGTTCAAAGACTTTAATTAATTTGTAACTGCTAAAGTCTCTCTTCTTTGTGTCTTGTTCTAGGATGTTTTTGTATTTAGACATGAACTTGCTCTCCTAAGAATATCTACCTTCATGGGTCTAATAATATTAGGTGGAATAAGTCGACTCTTTTACACTCAGCTAATGGGTATTTTCACTGTAAGTATCTAATTTTAGAAGTATATATTAATTTTATTTTCAGTACAATTAATAAAAATAGAAAAACAGATTGCATCTAAGGGAAGAATAGAAAAACACTTGCACTGTGAGGTACCTGTTTGGTGTGTGGTCTGTCAAGACTCTTGACACCAAGAAGTCTTAAGAAGCTTTCTAACAAACAAGTGTGTAATAAGTCTGGCTATCAAGTAAATTTCCTGTTTTGTATTAGTGAAGTAAACCCATACATTGTCATGGAATTTTACAGTGTACAAGGTATGTATTTGCGGGTTTTGATTTTTGATTTTCTTTTAAACTCTCATGTGTCTGGTCTGAATTATGTGACAGTGAGGCCCACTAATAAGTCATACATTCTGAGAATACAGAATTCTTGTTAAGTGTTTTAATAAATATGCTTATGCTTATATCTCTTTAGTTGTTTAACTGGGGAGTATAACCATGTGCGATTTACAGTCCAAATGCATACTCTATATTTCCAGATAGATGAATTTGGTAATGTAATAAATATGTACAAGAAATTAGCTTTTTTTAGTGTAACATCCTGTTCTGTACATTAGAAGTTAATAACTTCCAGCAAATGTTTTAAAGTTACCTTGTGAAACCATATAAATGTTTAAAATACAGCAGTGTTGAACAGAAAGAGGACATTAGTTGGATCCGTACCTGTCTGAAAGGGTGTATGGTCTTGTCTGCTGAACTTTTTTTTTTGAAGACAATAAAGTACAAGATGACAGCATCTTTCTGACTACAACTGATGGAGATCTGCCTGAGATTTCATTTTGAAATTGGGAAGGTTTGCACAGTATTAATCTTTTTAGGTACAAAATGGGAACCCTTCCAACTGTATTGGGTAATTTATTTGTATAGAATAAAGGACAAAAATTACTGTTTAGTTTTTCCTTCTATTAGATAAGACATTGATATTGCTTTTTTTGTTTTATTGTATTACCTTTGCATAAGTTTACTGCCTTTTGCTCTTTCTGTGACTGTAGCTATGCTGTGTATTATTTCTGCCGTTCTCCAACTGCTCTACCAGATTGCTTTCTGGACTTTCTCTCAACCCCCAGGTCAACAGATTTACATTTCTGCACCTTTACTGTGTGCCTAATTTCTGTTCCAAGGTCTTGCTGACAGGTTCTATCCTCCTTGTTTAAATGCAGGCATACCATGTTTGTGTCTGCATCCTCCAGAGCTGGGATGTTTTTCTGAATTACTACTATGCCTTGTTGGGTATTTAGCTAAAGTGGTCATCATCATGGCCAGTCTTTGCGAATGAAGATTTGGGAAAGGTCATTACCCTTTGAGCCTGCACAGTGGATTTTTTAGGTGAGACACAGTGTGCGCTGAACTGAGCCCACCCTTTAATCCTGAGGTTCATCTGCCGGGGCCGAGCGAGCTCGGACGGTGGCAGTGAGGTCCTCAGGACGTAGGTTTGTTTAGAGTGACCTTCTCTTAGATGGATGGCCTTACAGGGCTGACGAGCTCCATCTGCATGGGGAAGTTCCCTGACCGGGAATCGAACCCCGGGGCGTGAGAATGCCGCATCCTAACCACTAGACCACCAGGGGGCCCCAGCTGAAGTGGTACAGACCTCTGAATTCTGCTCACTGTCGCTCCCAGTAATGGGAGAGATGGAAACTCAGGAAGCCTGATTGTTCTGATACTGAAATACGGATGTCTTTTTGATTTCTGTTAAATGGATATATATGAGGAGAAACAAAAAGCCCATGTGATCACTACTACACTAAACCACAAACACGATACAGAAGAAAACAAGGAACAAACCCTAAGTCTGTCATTCTGTTCTGTGGGCTGCCAGAAGCTAGACTTAGTTTTCGCAGTGACCATCGGCATCCATTCAGGTACTATTACTATACATGAAATAAAAACATCCTAGACTGAAGCTGTTTCTATCACATATATCTGAAACCTGGAACGTTTCTATTCTGACACAGGATACCAACAGTGCTGCCTCTGCAACAGGCATGAATACCAATAAGAACCCAGTTGTTACTTCCCTGTCGTGAGCCTTAACACCATCAGGCTATTACCACCACTGCATGCTTATAAACTGCTCTAAAGCCCTTTCTTTCTATGTCAGTGGTCTGATATACTGTGAGGTACATCCTGTTCACTTACAGAGCTGGCAACTACGCTGGAACAGGTGTGGGCTAACAGCATTTTCAAGTCCAGCCCCCTTTTTTTCTTTGTACTCAAATCATAATTATGAGGTTTGCTGAGCTGCAGTATGCCTGGATACTCTCTTTTGTTGTCTTTGCCAATGTGAAACAAACATACTGCAGTAATTGTGGATATGGATGGTCTATAAGAGACAGATGCTGGAAAGTACAGAACTGCATTAAGGCTTCTCACTGCACTCTACCTGCCCCCAGTAGCAGAAGGGCTATTGTGCTTGCCTCGTATGGACAAGTTTTTAGGCTTGTTCAGATTGCTGGGGAAGTAGAAATCCAGTACTGGGATCTCCAGACACTAATTCATTCACACCATGTGGATGCTGTTGCCTTGATTCATTGAAGAATGTAGGTTGTGTAGTCCATCCCCCACTCAAAGTGTTTCCATACCAGCAACACAGTCGTCTTTTCCCTTTTCATTCCTTTCCTCATGATTCTAGAATTGGCAGGAATAAACAATACAGTTACTTTGAGGAAATCTACTTGGCAAGAACTAGTCAGACTTCAAACAAACAAAGCAAGTCTGTTTGTTGAAGTTGTGCTTAGTCTGCAAGTAGTGTCAGAAAATCTTTCTGTACAAATGGCTTTTGATTGCCAGCATTGTAATATGGGAACTTGCTTCCTCCATAAGCACTAACAGCTTTAGCTAGCCAGTGGAAAAGGCAGAGGAGAGGGCAGCAGGTGAGTGTGCAGTTTCTTCACAGGCTCCCGAAAGACATGCCTGTGATGCATAAAATAGGGAAACAAAGAGTCTGAGTATACCCACCCACAGTGCTGAGCTCACTGTGTGGAAGACATTCAAGTCCTGTAGAAGCAGAGAACCATGGTCACTAAGAAGCAGTGATGTTTCTACTGTGTAGTGTACTGGAGTTACTGTTCAGCATCTAACCTTCCTGTATAAATTAAATTTTATCTGAAATGAGGTCTATTTAAAATACTAAATTAATTATGAAATTAAACTTAGTATAAAGTACAGATCAAAATTTAACAGAACAGAATCATTGAAGTGTAATAGTGCAGTTGAGGTTAATTTGAAAGAGACTCAAAATGCTTGAAGGCATGTATATGCACTGTTAAAGTATTCATGTTTGTTAAAGTATTCATTACTCCATTGCTGCTCTTGAGAGCATTAATTTCAGTGGTTGCTGAAGCTGCCCAAAGGCATGTGCAAGAGAGCTGGACAAGAGCATGGACCTTTTGAAAAATGCTAAGCAACTTTTACTTGTGCTTGTACAGGAGAACAGGTAATACACATTTTCCTGGTTCATGCTCTATGCCTGTGTTTGCAGTTCAGCATAAACCAAGATTAATTCCACAGCTCCTGGATGAAAGGTATTTTTTAATAGTAGCAACAATCAGCATTGCAGCTCTGTGATCTAAAGTTTGGTGAATACAAATGGTTGCTTAATAAGTCCAGCAAGTTCATGTTTGTTAGTTTTAATATTACTATTTACCTGTATTTCAAATGCTGCCAAAATTGTATTTTTGGAAAAAAAACCCTAAGATTTGTCAAACTTTAACCCGTTTGTAACGAAAATTCCTGATTCTCCGTAAGATAAACTTGCATGACCATCGTTATATAATTTTCCAGAAATCAAGCCAATAGTTTTTGGTTCATCTTGGTAATATAAAGCTAAGGCTGACTTTTTCCAGGAGTATAGGACATGCATATAAAAAAAACCCAAAATCCTTGATCTCTGTATTTACAGTTTATCCTTTTGTCACTTCTAGAAGATACATGCAGTTTAATGTGTAGAATAAATTTGCATTATGTGACTTTTGTATACAGCATTTTTAGAAACAGAGTTACTCCTTACTAGAATTGTGCTAAGTGGTAGATTGACAAGCTGTAAGAACTAGCAGAAGGTTTTCATAGTTCCTTTAATAGGCATTTTCACCTCTTGGATACATTTTTTCTGAAGTCAAGAAATGTCCAGCTGAATGCATAATGGAAAGGATATAACTGATATCCTGCAGCACGTTTTTCTGGAACAGGAAAGTAGCTAAAACAGAAAAGCAAAGCAGCATATTACCAAGTGCAGGTGAAGTTATTCAGCCGTGTGTGCTGGCACTTTGCAAAATTCAGGTTGTTATGCAGTTGCCTGATCTTCTGTGCCTATCATTTCATAGCTGTCATTGGTTATACCAGTAGATTAATTTCTTTAAGAAAAATACACATGTATTCTGCTGTTATCCTGTTTCATGTGTGTTCAACAGATATTTGGGTGCTTGGGAAAAATGTGCTCTGGTAAAACTGAAAACTTTGTAGCTTGTGTACTAAAATTGGCTCTTACAGAGAGAATGTTCTTAAAGCTATGCTGCTTGAGAAGGTGATGAATAGGCCAAGTAACCTACCAGACAGTAATTTCTCAGCATACTTTTACCACCTCTCTTAGTGTGGTATCACTGTTAGGGTATCATTAGCTTAAGGCTATTCATAACTCATTTGGAGGTCCAGGAAGCCAAAGAGCAAAGGAGGTGACTTTCTACAATGAGAGAAGAACAGCTGGTTGGCAAAAACTGTCCTTAGAGGAACTTTTGACATGAATTGTTCCGATGAAGAGGGGAGCAGCTGAGGTGGCCTCTGTATACGGGATTAGTGCTTTCTCCCTAGAAACTAGCATATGTGAAACACACTTCTAGCAGAAGCGGCACATTGTTCTTTTCATCTGCCTTCTCCAGTTGCTTTCCCCAAGCTCTGTTTGCCTCTGATTTTGTCATCATCCTGAATTTTAACACTTCTTCCAGTATCTATCTGACGTTACTCTTGGGAAAGTTTTATTTGGATAC